CAGGAGGGAGCCTGGCGCCTTAACCACTACGCCACACGCTGGCCACACGCTTGCCCCTCGCGGGGCACTTCAAGCGGCCGAGGCCAGAATTAGAGCTGTGCGCTTGGCTCCATGGGATCAGACTGTTAACCAGTAGCCCCGGGAGTGCACGCCCCCTCTCCAACACGCACTTCTAAATGATCCTGGACCAGGGGACGGATCAGAGGAAGTCGGACGCGCTGGCCCACAGGGAAGTGGTCTGCACAGCGCAGCCAAAGCAGAGAGCCGCCAGCTCCAGGCTGCAGGATGTGTGGGAACTGCACATTATTTAAAGCTATGCACAGGGCCGGCAGACGGCGGAACGGCTACGCTGGACTCCCACGTAGTCGACCACAGCTTGAGTCCCAGACCTGGCGGCTTAAAACTCATGCCGTGCGCATGTGCGTGCGTGCCCAAGATCCCAAGGGGAGAATGAAGGAGAAGGGATTGTGGCGTGGCCATCCCCCCGGGGGGTGATTTCTTGCTTTCTGTCTCTCTCTCTCTCCAGCGAGTACATGCACCCTATAGCAAAAATCTCTCTCTAAAATTTCTATTTTTTTGAATTTCTATTTTTTGAGCCAAAATAAACTCATACTTTAATCCCATTTTTGTCTTTGAACTTTCTGAAGTACCCTCATATATACTCGTATTAGGAAAGAATCCAGAAGCCTAAGCATCCGCCTTAAGACCCTAGCGAGGGACGCGCAGAAGAAAACGCAGAGAGCAGAAGAGCCCTCGGAGCTAACGGGTGAGTGAGACCGAGGGCGGGGACACTGCGGAGAGTTAACTCCATCGATCCCGGGACTCTGCAAAGATGAATAAGGTCGATAACCCTCTAACAAGACTGATGGAAAAAAACCAGAACTAAAATAAAAACGATGCCCAAAATCCCAGAAGGAAAATGGAGGAGAAGGGATTACAGTATGGCTATCATCCCTGGTGATGGTTTCTCACTTTCCCTCTTTCTCTCTCTCTCTCCAGCGAGTACATGCACCCTATAGCAAAAATCTCCCTCTAAAATTTCTATTTTTTTGAATTTCTATTTTTTGAGCCAAAATAAACTCATACTTTAATCCCATTTTTGTCTTTGAACTTTCTGAAGTACCCTCATATATACTCGTATTAGGAAAGAATCCAGAAGCCTAAGCATCCGCCTTAAGACCCTAGCGAGGGACGCGCAGAAGAAAACGCAGAGAGCAGAAGAGCCCTCGGAGCTATCGGGTGAGTGAGACCGAGGGCGGGGACACTGCGGAGAGTTAACTCCATCGATCCCGGGACTCTGCAAAGATGAATAAGGTCGATAACCCTCTAACAAGACTGATGGAAAAAAACCAGAAACTAAAATAAAAACGAGAGGACCGAAATAACTCAAGCTAGACCTGAAAGCGGGCATCAGCACAGGCCTGTGAAGGGCAGCAGGGAGACTGCAGTCGGCCGGCTGTAGACGCGCAGACTCCACCTGGCAGTTTAGATGGCGCGGGTCGATTCCTCGGAAGTCACAAGATACCAGAGCTCTGCGTTTGTCTAACCGAAATGGAACAGAGGTCTGACGACCCTGTATGTAACAGACAGACGCTCCCACAGGCCAGCACAGAGGCCGGAAACCAGAATTACACACAACTGTGATCTTCATGACTGCTCGCCATCCAAACTGCAATACTCAGGTATAACCCTGACAAATACAAAGGGCTTACGTACGGAAAACTGCAAAACCCTATGAAAGAGCTGAGGAGGATGCAGACGATCGGAGGGAGGGGCCTGCGTGTGCGTGCACTGGACATATGAGGGGAGAACACCAGCTCTGC